GTTTTAAATTGCACGACCTTGGCCAATTCCCTGCGAACTTGAACCCTGGAGCGTGCGAAATTTTCCAGCTGCAATTTCCGCTTCTTTTTGGCAGGCAGCAGTTCTTTTGATACACCGTCGTTTTTTTGTTTTTTTGTGGAAGTAAGCTACCAAAAAATAATGTTCGTGTGAGTGCTGTTGACTGAAATTTAAATTCTTGTGTAGTTCAAAATCTCATGAAATTATATCTGGCCTCCGCTTTAAACGTGGCCAAATTTAAATTCAGTGGAAGGATGCAAAAATGCTTGAACACAATTTGTTAGTCAACTGGTGTCTTTTCCGTCCGAAGAACTGATTATCTGGGCTAAAGAATTTACAGTGTACATTTGCAGTGATGTGGGCACGTTATTAACATTGACCACTCTTTAATATTTTACGTATTGAATTAAATGTTTGATAGTATGGCCCGAAATCTTTGCCGGGCAAACGCTCACACGGTTAACCGTCCGGAAAATTGTGAGTTCTGTGGCTGACGCTGAGTGGTTTTAGAATTTATCGATACGGCTTAGCATTATTTATCAGCATTACAGCAAATGTAAGGTTTCTCCCGCGTATATTTCGCGAGTACCGTAAACGTCGCCTGTGATTTCAAGTTCCGTGGGAATATTTCTGAGTCGCGAGAACCGCACTGAAGTTCACATGCAGATAATCCCAATCCGGGTCATTTTTCAAAGTAGGCGGCGACGTGAAAAGCAGAGCGGATCTTTCTTTTCAGACTGTGACAAGCGGCAAATAATCATAATAATAATAATAAATGACGCATCTTCTTGGCTTCGGAAGAAAAAGAATAAGGAAGTGGGAAGAAAAAAATTCTGGGTAAGAAGAGCCGAAGTTGAAGTTTCGGTTCCTCCCTTTTTTATCGCCGTCGATCGAGTCGTTGCCCGATCTCAGCTAATGATCGCGTCGTGGGAAGAAGAGCATGATAGATTGTCGTTCGAGCGATGAAAAATCGAAGACCAAGAGCAACTTTGTCTCCCCCCCCCCCCCCCCCCCCCGCGACGGCGGCGGGGGCGGNTTTGTCTCCCCCCCCCCCCCCCCCCCCCCCCCTCTGCGACGGCGGCGGTGGCGGCGATCGGCGACGCCTCTTCTTGCTGTTTCAACAAGATTCCCTTTTTTTCACTTGGCGACGACATCGACGATGACGAAGGCTAAACCTTTTTTTCGTCTCGCATTTCCCGCCAACATGGATTGTCTTTCAGAAATGGCTTGTTTTCTGGCTGCTCGGAAATTGCATCGATTTTAATGCAGGGTTTTTTCAAGGGGTGGTGAGCGTCATTTGAATTTTACTTGAGACATTTGCTGGATGGTCCGCAGATTGGCTCATGGAATGAAGTGAGCGCCAACTCCTTTTTTATGATTTGGAGATTGAATCCCACTTCATGAAAGGCATTTTTGAACGATTCCATGAGAGGAAACGAATTATTTGTGTATTGATTATTACGTAAATAATGAGCTACTGTAATGCATTCATGTCATTGAGAAAAAATTGACGGCGTTTTAGGAAAATCGGTTTAACTCCTGAAGCCAGGCATTGTAAAGGGCAGAGCCCAATTTTTTTCTCATTAATCGGGGGTCAATTTTCTGCAGTTTATGCATATTTTGCGTTGGGTTATCTTCGTAAATTACTGGAGGCATTGAGAGATGGCTTATTTTATTGGGTCAATTAAATCAAAAACTCCCCATCTTATTTTTTTTTCAACTAATGATGCTTCGAGAATTATAGTCGATGCGATCAATACTTTTCAAATCGCGAATAAAGACTAGATTTCCGCTGCCTACTTGAGAGGTTTCATGGTGAGATTTATTGATCTGATTCGATCGTAGTATCATCAAATGCGAAAGATTAATTGACGAAATTATTTATTTGGTGCTTTTTATTGGATCTGGAAATGGCTTTTTTTACATTCGCTCGAAGCAATATTTTTGGGCGCAATCCTGGCTGGATCACAGATGTGGAGCTTTCAATTGAAGCCATAATGTGTGTTATCACGAGTTATGTGTTGTTCATGTATTTTTTGAGTGTGATCGATGGCTTGTCAGAGAGGCAAAACGACTCGAGTTTATCTCGACCTCAGCCTGGTGTGATTATTGTTCCAAATTTACGTGGATGATTGATATTATTTTATGCGGAACAGATCAGTATCGAGTTTTGGTATTCGTCGCGGAATCTTTTTTACGGCGCTGGAAATGGAGAGACATGAAATTGACTTCGCGATCATGAAAAGCATTTTCACAGCTGTTCGACGGATAGGCATGTCTCATTTTTTATTTTATTTAATAGTGATGAAGTCGGCCCAATTTTTGAATGAACGCAGTACTCAGTACTGTACTTGGAAAAATACACGTTATCTTCGAAAAAAAAATGAGAGAGAACTTGGGTTTTCAAAGACGAAGAATCTCTACCTGCGAAGTTGAAGCATTTTAATTGAAAACCATGTGCATTGTTTTGCTTTTGAAGAAAAATTAAAATAAGAGCAATTCTTTTCGTGTGGAAAAAAACGCTCGACGCATCCGAAATTCATTTGGCCATATTTTGCAAACCCCACCCTTCATAAGAACCGTTGTCAAGTCGAAGTTAATTCCTGCTGTATTTTATATTGCACCAAAGAATTGAAAGTCGAACAAGATTTTTTTCTATGGTTGAATGTGATCAAAAGTTTTGCACAATAAATTCATTCATTGAATGATTTTTTAGTTCACGATGTGTATAGGCAACAAAAACACCGTCGCAAGTGTCGAAGTATGTTTGAATAACTCTGGGACCCTGGAAATTCTTCATTTTTTTCCGAAATAGAATTACCTCTTGGGACAATATTATGACCACAATGTCATATTCTTTGTTACAGATTATGAGAATGGATGTGTCTTAAAGCCTTAAACAAATGAAAAGACAATTGATGAATTCGTGATGATTTATGGTTCCGTGGAATCTTCATCGCGGATTACTGATGAAATAATGTTAGGAATGTAGAGAATTATTAAAATTGAATTTGAATGTGGCCTTCATTCTTGCTCCAACGGTACCAAAAGGACATTTTCTGAGCATTGCATTTCGTGGTGGTTATCGGAGCTTATTTTTGGAGTAGGGTTTATATTTTTAGTGGTTTCAGAATTTAGCTGAGACTCGCTTATTGATTAAATCATTCTTAAGGGGAATTCCGGTAATTGTACTATAACTGGATTGGAAATACTGTATGAATCGTTCAAGCAATGGGTGCTGTCGTGATTTGTCCATTTGTTTTGCGGTTGTAATCGAGAAGAAAATCAGATCGAATATTCTATTGATTTGATTGATTGTGCTGAATTGAAAAGGCAAATGTGCCTGCATGTCTTTCGAAACGCCGAAGCCCTATACGCAGGTCTCATTCTATTCCTCGTGGAATTTTGGGAACAAATGGGCACACTACATTGGGCACAAAAAATAGAGGGGAATATAGCAGAGGGGGTGCAAAACTGAGAACGGTACCGTCTTCGGAATGCGTTCGAATCCCACTGGGCGATTCGGAATGTAAAGAAGGCGGATTCTTCGCGTCGGGCATGACGTCGATTTGAATCGAGGAAAGGAACCTCTTTTCGTGCGTTAAACAGTCGCATTTTCATTCCCGTGGCTGGGAGTGTGTGTACGAGCGATGCGTATGATGTTATCTCTTGTGAGGTCTCAGCTCCTCAACATCGCCGCTGTCGAAAAAATCCGCATTTTCCTCACGTACCGAATACATAAAATTCCTCGGCATCGTTTTTTCTCTCTCTCTCTTCCGTCATTCATGAGTGGATTCTTCTCGAGTCACGAGAGAATATTTCCAAAATATTGGAAGAATATTTTCCTGTGAGTGGTCGTACCGTTTTTATTAGAACTTACGATTATGACTTACAGAAAACCAGGGTGGGCAATAGATTCATACACAAAATTCTCCCGCGCCGTTTTTTATCTTCAAATAAATCTCTGATTTTGGAGTGGATTCCTCTTGACCATAGAATGGAAAATTTCCATTTACTTATGCTTGTGACTTGACATACAATCAGAATGGTTCTTGGGTTATAACATGAAATTCCACTGCTTCGTTTTTTTTTTCCTCCTTCGCCCTTCATCCACAAGGGGATTTTTCTTGAGTCACCTAAAAAAATCTCTTGAGCGTATTGGCACCATTTCTGTATGATTCTAAGACTTTTTTTTAGAAACGACATTCGCTCACGAGCAGATAGCGTCTTAGATTCATGCAGGAAAATTTTCTGCGTTATTTTTTGGCATTCTTTCATAACTCAGTAGTTTTTTGAAAATCTTCACAAAAATTAAATGTTAATGGTAAGGAAATTAAAAGTAATTTTTTTTCATTCGCGGGTTATCAGTGCCACGTATGACGTGGAAGACGGTGAAACATTGAGAAGATTGTGTTTCGGTCGTCCGTGTGTGATATAGTTTGCACTGATTTGCCAATTACTGTAATGGAAAATTCTCCTGGATTTGCCAGGAAATTTTTGTTACAAGTTGACTGAAAAATTATAAGTGCTTGCGAGAATTCATGGCGTCCGATTTTGCGTGAATGTCTGCGTTTTTTTCCTTTTTCCTATTCAATTCAAATTGCTGAAATCATTCCTCCGACGAGCAGTAAAAACTGTGACTTTCCGAGATGAGGTGACTGACGCAGGAAGCTCGTCGGAATCCAGACTTTTGAGGGTTCAGGAACTTGCAGAAAAAAAAAAACATCTATCCATCTTCACAAACCCTCCCGGAAAAGGCCTCAAAAGGCATCATTTTCTTGAGCGTCCAAACAACCTGTCAGGAACTCGCCCCTACTTACCCTAGAAAGGAGTTGCAGCCGCAAAATATTGCGTTCTTTTTCGGGCTTCCTTAGAGCCCTTACGAGCGCTTTGCCCGCTGCTTTTTAAGAACGAAAAAAGTGCCTCCCCCTCGTCGGAGTTGTTTTTAATATTATTTTTTTTGTAAAAATGTTCCCTACTCGATGGACGGAGATGGTCAACGAATGACGTCGTGGAAGCATTCGTATGCTGTAGATTTAGGATAAATATTAAAAACGCTGCGCTGCACACGGATGAATTCCGTCTGAGTTCACGATTAATAAAATCCTGTACTGCCTGGGAACTGTGAGGCCTGTTTATGTCTCTTTCGGATGGTTCAGTGTTCAGATTTCATCATATTTGACTTTCGTGGGTTTATTGGAACTAGCAAAAATTCGAAATAATATGCCTCTCCGACTTCCAGCTGACCCCAACTTTTCGGACGTTTATTGCTTTTTAGACTAAGCTCAGCCACCGTATTTTGTGGCTGAAGGGCGAAAAAACCGTATGGATGTACAGTATTAAAAAAAAAAAAAAACTTACTCGTCGACCTTAAAACATACGTACGAAACCCGCCGGTTATAAAAACCGTTCACGCACTTGTAGAAACGCAGTGAGCAAGGACCGTTACGAGTTAAGGGGTGGGGCAGGGTGTCAATTGACACAATTTTTGATACCATGGTCTGATTTTCGTTTAATTTCCTGCAGGCTCACTTGAAAACGCCATGATTATAACATTTTCACATTTTACATGATAATAAAAGGCAACGTAAATTTATCGGAATTAACGTATTTATGCGATTTTAAGCCACTCGCAGTTTTGTCAATCAATCGAGGGCTAAAATTTGTGTATGAAACTGGCAAAATTTTCGAAATATCGGATGGAACGATTGCTGATATACACATACGCATAAAACTGTGCAGTAATTGTATTATTTATTCATGCAATGCTGAATTCACGTAAGACAACGTCCGGAAAATACTTGAGTAAGATTCTCCTAGTTTCCTTTAATGTAGCTGAATGTTCGTCTCCCATGTTGTCCTTCAGCTTCAGCTCTTCCATTCTGTGTTACACTGACTAGCACTGATTTTTATTGACAGGTTTTTTTTCACCGCGGATTATCTTCGAATATTCAGACTACGCGAGTTCATCAATTCAAATGGTTCGGCGCAATAGTGATGTTTGAATCAGCTGCAAATGCGGTAATCCCGATGAGCGTGAAATTTTCCGCGACGATGTTTCTTCGACGCGTGAAGAAATTCTTTTAAAGGAACGTATTTCTGAATGAAAATTTTCAGGTAAAAAAAAAAGAAGGTACAAGTTAAGAAGTTTGTGACCGGGGAAGTTATGAACCTCAAGGTTCGAGCCGGGAAGCGATGAATTGACTGTGAATTTGACGAGGTTATACAAGTGTCTGTCGTCGGGTGTTGTTCATGACTCGACAAGTGTCGGTGATTACTTCCTGGAAGGATTAAAAGTGACAGTCGTGTCGTTGTTGGATCGTTCGCTCCACGGTCCCGGCGTCAACGGGAGCAGCGGCCGGCACTTGTACAAGTTCTACTAGCGCCACCTCAAGCGGTGCCACTCAAACGGAGGTCCTTACGTGAAGTTAATTAATTACTAATAATAATGACATGCTATATTTCAACTTAGGTCGTAAGGCGAAATGTCGCTTGTGTTGAATACCTTCCTTTTTGTCGATTTATTTCCGAGTCCCTGTCTGAATTCCCCAGGAAATAATGCATTAAAAACCTCTCCAAACTCGAAGGTTTTCCTCCGCAAATCTTCAAGACTCGAATTTTCCGAAGCCTTTTTTGTCGATTATTTGATTGACAAAAGGTAGAGAAAATCAATTGAAATGTAACTTGAAGTGTTTTGAAATGTTTGAAATGAAGTGAAACACTAATTGGGCAAATAACCCTTTGCCTATAATTTCGGGATTGAAATTATCCAATACGTTCCATTATTTGGAGTAGCTTTAAATTTTTTTGTATATCAGCTGAATATCCAGGATTAATCCCGTTTTGTCTGAACCGGAAGCTTTATTGCTATACAGCGCAAAGAATATTAACGGAAAGGAGGAAAAGAACAATTGAACGTGCACTTCAATTAATTAATGATTATTACTGTACGATATAAAGTTGAATCCCCGTAATGCGAAACCTCACTTGAACTGAATACCTTCGTTTTGTCGATTTCTTCCGGAGTCCCTGTCTGAATTCCCCAGGAAATAATGCATTAAAAACCTCTCCAAACTCGAAGGTTTTCCTCCGCAAATCTTCAAGACTCGAATTTTCCGAAGCCTTTTTTGTCGATTATTTGATTGACAAAAGGTAGAGAAAATCAATTGAAATGTAACTTGAAGTGTTTTGAAATGTTTGAAATGAAGTGAAACACTAATTGGGCAAATAACCCTTTGCCTATAATTTCGGGATTGAAATTATCCAATACGTTCCATTATTTGGAGTAGCTTTAAATTTTTTTGTATATCAGCTGAATATCCAGGATTAATCCCGTTTTGTCTGAACCGGAAGCTTTATTGCTATACAGCGCAAAGAATATTAACGGAAAGGAGGAAAAGAACAATTGAACGTGCACTTCAATTAATTAATGATTATTACTGTACGATATAAAGTTGAATCCCCGTAATGCGAAACCTCACTTGAACTGAATACCTTCGTTTTGTCGATTTCTTCCGGAGTCCCTGTCTGAATTCCCCAGGAAATAATGCATTAAAAACCTCTCCAAACTCGAAGGTTTTCCTCCTCAAATTTTCAAGACTCGAATTTTCAGAAGCCTTTTTTCCGATTATTTGATTGACAAAAGGAAGCGAAAATCAATTGAAATGTAACTTGAAGTGTTTTGAAATGAAGTGAAAAAATAATTGGACAAATTATCCTTTGCCTATTATTTCGGGATTGAAATTATTCAATACGTTCCATGTGGAGTAGCTTTAAATTTTTTTTTTGTATATCAGCTGAATATCCGTGATTAATTCCGTTTTGTTCAAATCAGAAGCTTTATTGATGTACAGTGAAAAGAATATTAATGGAAAGGAGGAAAAGAACAATTGAACTTGCACCTCAATTAATTAATGATTATTACTGTACGATATAAAGTTGAATCCCCGTAATGCGAAACCTCACTTGAGTTGAATTCCTTCTTTTTGTCGATTTTTTCCGATTCCCTGTCTGAATTCCGCAGTAAATAATGCATTAAAAATCTCTCCCAACTCGAAGGTTTTCCTCCTCAAATCTTCAAGACTCGACTTTTCAGAAGCTTATTTTGCAGATTATTTGATTGAAAAAAGGAAGAGAAAATCAATTATAATGTACCTTGAATTGTTTTTAAATGAAGTGAAAGACTAATAGGGCAAATAATCCTTTGCCTATAATTTCGGGATTGAAGTTATTCAATACGATCCTTGTGGGGTAGCTTACAATTTTCTTTTTTCTGTAGATCAGCTGAATATCCAGGATTAATCCTGTTTTGTCCAAAAACGGAAGCTTTATTGCTATACAGCGCAAAGAATATTAATGGAAAGGAGGAAAAGGACAATTGAACTTGCACTTCGATTAATTAATGATTATTACTCTACGATATAAAGTTGAATCCCCGTGATGCGAAACCTCACTTGAGTTGAATTCCTTCTTTTTGTCGATTTTTTTCTGAGTCCCTGTCTGAATTCCCCAGTAAATAATGCATTAAAAATCTCTCCCAATTCGAAGGTTTTCCTCCTCATATCTCTAAAGGAGGAAAAGAACAATTGAACTTGCACCTCAATTAATTAATGATTATTACTGTACGATATAAAGTTGAATCCCCGTAATGCGAAACCTCACTTGAGTTGAATTCCTTCTTTTTGTCGATTTTTTTCTGAGTCCCTGTCTGAATTCCCCAGTAAATAATGCATTAAAAATCTCTCCCAATTCGAAGGTTTTCCTCCTCATATCTCTAAAACTCGAATTTTCAGATGCCTTTTTGCCGATTATTTGATTGAAAAAAAGAAAGAGAAAATCAATTAAAATGTAACTTGAATTGTTTTGAAATTAAGTGAAAGACTAATTGGGCAAATGATCCTTTGCCTATAATTTCGGGATTGAAATTATTCAATACGATCCTTGTGGGGTATTTTTAATTTTTTTTTTAGATCAGCTGAATATCCAGGATTAATCCCGTTTTGTCCGAACCAGAAGCTTTATTGATGTACAGTGAAAAGAATATGAATATAGAGAAGGAAAAGAACAATTTTGTCCTCTGATGCCATTTTATTTGTCCTGTTGAAGCGTTTTCAAACTCTGAATAGCGAACACAGCACCAAATTTCCATCTTTTAACTTTATATGAATTTCCTTCGAGACCTGAGGAGGATATTGTTTTCAATCGACCAAGATGAAAGGAAATCACTGGAGGAAAAGAAAAAATTTCGTTCTCTGATCCGATTATATTTGTCCTGATAAAGCGTATTCAAACTTTGAGTAGCGAAAACTGTATGAAATTTCCATCTCTTAACTTTTTACGACTTTCTTTCGAGCCCCGAGGAGGAAATTGTTTTCAATCGACCGAGATTGAATTCACGCATTTTTGTTTTTTTGCGTTTTTAAGAGGAAAGAAAAGAAGATTGACCGAAACCTATTTTAAGCCTTCGTTCTTGGTACAAGACAGACTACGAAGATTTATTGTGCATGCATTTTCCTCGGCCAAGAAAGAAGTGTTCAAGCTAGCTCGTGAATGCCGATTTGTACGAATTCACTTCATGTCTGAGGTTGAAAAGAAGGGTTGGGAGATATTAGCAGTTCTGGTCTTTGTACGTACGGAAAAATATAATCGAACCGTGAAGGTGAAAAGTTTTGCAGCTGCGGGAGACCTTTTTTTTTTAATACTTGTCGCCCTTTCTCCACGAACGCGTTTTTGTCATTCGGAAAAATGGTTGGCATTTGCAAACTTTCAGGCACGGGAGATTGTTTTTTTTTTTTTTTCACAGCGCAAGAGACATTCTTTTACCCAGTTATTCCGATACATCATTTTTGAATTGCTCGCACTTTCATTTCACGTTGAGGGTTGCCATTTTTATAACTTGACCTGGTGTTTTTAGTTTTTGCGTCTAGCTTATGATACTTTTCCAGCCCATTTTCAGGTTATCTTTTTTTAAATTCCCGTAAGTATATACAGCTGCTCGTTTATTTGATACGACGGCGATTACGTTGACATTCTTGAAGCTCATTCGAGTCGAGCCAGTGGTATTCTATTTTCGTTTTTTCTAAATGTTTCCTTTTCTTTTTCAGATGGTTCGTTAATGAGTGTCCCTAATTATTTGTAATTTCAGGAACATCTACGTAGACTTCCGATTCGTGATGTGATCGGTTACGCACGCGTATTTTTTCTTGTAGATATGAATTTATTGTGGATATTTCGTATGGATATAACTGAAAGTGTTAAATTTATGAATTAAAGAGTTTATTTATTCGACTTCGAAGCAAAATATATTACCAGCCGATGTTTCTCCGGATATGAAGGCTGTCGGATATATTTCTAGAAAGAATGGTCGTGTCTTATAACGAAATTTTGATTCTTTCTACAATATCATGGTCATATTTGGCGATGTGACAAGTTGCCAAAATTTACTTGTTTATATTGATATTGAACCTTTCATATAAAAAACGCTGTACAATAGTAGCATTTTATAGAAACTACAATTAAATACGTTTTACACTTCATAACTTCTTGTTTCATTGAAAACTAAAGCTTCCTACTGCGAAAAATACGAAAAAAAATTCATAATCGTGTGTGACGCCGTCGAATGTGGGGCATAACTACAGTATTGGACATATGTTTATGTTTGAAGAATGTTATTAATTTTCTCTGCAGAAATTGGACACACATGAATTACTGTGAATTGTTCACACAGTCCATTAATACAAGCCACGCTTCAGTTCCCAACTTGATCTATTTGAAAGCTTCCCGAAAAAAAACTGGATTTATGCTCCTTGATTGAAAGCATGTTAATTTAATTTAATTCGGACCATTTTTATTCATCGCGGTATTATTCAGCAGGATTCCTGAACATTTTTAGAAAATTTAGAACGGGGTGAAATGAATATATTGTACGTCATTGAATAAAACACCGTCGGATGCAACGACGCTCCCGAATTGTTGAAAAATTATTTCCGGAATAGGACTCCTATTTCCTGTTATTATATCGGTTGTTCCGGATGCATTTTAGCAGACGTAAATCAGCTTCACGTAGGATACCATGATTGAGTTAGTTTGGACTTCATGAGATGAATACTCGTAGATGTCTGGAATTCCATGGAAAGACCCCCTTGTTTTCGCAGCTGGGAAAAGGAAGATTCATGCCGTTTTTATGGGAGGAAATCGAGTAGTCACACACCTCCTAGTTGTCCCCTCGTGCGTGCGAAATTTCCCACAAAAGCCGGCGTCCCGCATAGACGATTTGGGTTCGTTTGAAAGGACGCGAAACTAAACGCATCCCTTGGCTCATTTTTCTCAATGATGCTCAGCTGTTTGCTGTTTTGTGGTTACGTTTTGCTTTTTTTTTTTCTTCTCCGCTTGGCTGTTGTTACGCCGAGGATTTATGAAGAGTAACAAAGAAAATGAGAAGGGGAGATGAAACATGTGAGTGCTTCTTTCCCTACTTGGCCATAGTTTCGAAAACCCGTTGTTTTCGTGTCGGTTTGTAGTGGGTTGAATAAATTGTGGGAATGGAACAGTGTTCCCTTTTTTTTTTTTAGTCTCTCTCTCTGTTGTTGTTGGTCGAATTGACGGGCTATTGCTTTTCGGTGAAATCGCACGATTGTTCAAGTGATCTGACATCACTGGCTTTGCTCACGATTTTCAAAGCAGTTTTTGGAAAAGTAATTTCATTTTATTTTCTTCTGAGAAACATTCGAAAATCCCTGGCAGCCCATTTTTCTTTCAGCTGGATATTTTTGTCATGTGCTGAGGAAATTTTTCTTGTTTCCACTTTTCAGCCCGAGGATTCATAAATGTTGTATTACTTCTTCGCACAAGGTCGAAAGTCGGTAGTGAATTTAAATCACTTCAATTTTTGCTTTCCCGTCATGAAAGTGCGGCGAATAAAGGAAATGAGAGGTTGAAAAGAAAACGCATTTACTGTTTTTCAAGGTAGAAAATCTCCCAAACGTTTTTTCAGTATGAAAAATAATGTTCAATGGGAAATTACTAAAGTATTATTCCAGTACCGATAAATTTCGTTGGTTTGACTGCATTGCTGTGAGCAGCACGAAAATGTCATGAAAATATATAGAATTAAAATTTTACAGTAAATAATGTAGGAAAACATTATTTTATAGAAACAATTTTAAAATAATATTTTAGAAGTGAATAAAAATTCAGGATGGAAGATAATCCCGCGTTTCTTTTGCATTCCCGCGCTTCCTTGATGAAATTTATATTTACATGTATCTGCTTCTTCGAACTTCGTCAGACTAATCAATCAATGAACTCAATGTTCTTTCCCACTCAGAGGTTGGTCAATTGTTCATCACCATGACCATCAAGTCATCTATGTGAACGAAGCTTCCCTCCTTTCCGATTGAATCCTCCCTCTGATGCAGGTGATCATTTTTCCATAATTAGCCATTTCCTGGATTTAAGAAGTAAAAAGAAAATAATATTGATTTTTTGCTTGAAAAAATATTCAAGTAGAATCCGGAAAAGAAGAATCAGGCTTGTTCGATCCTCAGGTACGGAGGTATAAAATCAGAACCAGGAAGTGCGACGGAGAGCATCAACCTTTTGATTTGCCATCAGCAAACTTCTGCGTCGCTTTTTCTGTCGGGAATTCCGCCAAAAAGCAAATTTACACTTCAAAGAATATGATTTTTGCTTCTTTTTCCTTATTAATGGACGAAGACAAAAAGTCGCGTTACTATTTAATCCAGGCGCAAATGTTATCGAAACCTCGTGACCACAGAATAGCACAGTAAATACGTGCGTGTAGGCCGCATTTTCCTAAAATTGTTTTATATATCCTCTGTGTGGCCTATGCAAAGGATACTTGACCATGATTTGCACTTCAGTCTTTTCTATGCGTTTTCACTTATTTTCACTTTAGTCTGTACCTATTCTCGAAATACGGCACTAAAAAAAATTATGTCCTAACATGACTAAATCTAACGCATCACTTCCACGAGGTTTAAATGTATCAGTTTGTTCCTCTGAAATTCAGTATTTTATCGGCAGACTTTTCATGTTCCGTCCGTGTCTAGAAATAATCTAGAAACCGGGTCACATGACCTAATGCATTTTCTAAATTTCATTGCCCTCAAATGATGCTAGATTTCAAGTGTCTGTTGAAATTCTCCCGCCGGAATCGCTGCTAAAAATCTGACCGCAACCTGTAACCGCGAAAATAAAGCATATTTTCTACTGGAATACTTGTAGATCCTCGAATATACTGCAATCTCACTTGTGTCTAAACCTAAGGCGTCAAGAACCCTCCGAGAAAAAAAAGGAAGGGTTCGTCGGTTCAGTAAATATCGAGTCTGGGAATTGCTTGTGCGACGACGCCTGGAAGCTGTTTGCCGACGGAGGGTAACGAAGTTTGCCCTTGTCCTTGACACCAGACCCTACGGGTATTTATTTCTCCTTCTTTTTCTTACAAACTTGAACACGAATCCGTCGGAAAATTTTGTTGAACCAGGGATTGAAAAATTTGGCGTGTGGGAAATCCTTTTGGATACGGGACGAGATTTGCACTTTCACCTTGAATATTTTCGATTCCAACGATCATCACTTGGATTTTTATTCCATTTTCGTGATCTGTTCCTGGTTTTCAAGTAAAACACAGAATGTATTTTGTTCTCATTTTTCAAGTGCTAGGTATTGGGAATATGATACTGTACAGTTTACATTTGTGGTTCAGCGTCTTATAGGCCACATTTTCCCACAATCATTCATTTTCGGCGGCCCATACCGTTTCTCGAATATTGAAAAGCATTACTGAAAATCGATGCTGCTGATCGTCGCCCTCGAACTTTATAAATGCGGTTTTTTTGTTTGTTGCAAAAATGGAGAATTCAGAGCATTGAATTATCCGACATGGTTACTGGATCATTCCTGTCTTCAACATTTTCGTGTAGTTCTTATTTGATCATAGTTTGCAACCATGGTTGCTGAAAGGAAAAAGGTCCCATTACCCATCCCAGGAAAGCCTCATTTTAGATTACCTGTACTTGAATATAAATTTATGAGTTTTCAAAAGAGTTCGAGTTTAATCATCCAATCCTGAAGTGTAAGGCATCAAACTGAATGGTTTGGGAGTGCTTTCGATAATTGAGATTACAGTCTACCATTTCAAGGGATGACATGAAAAGGGATTCGTGAAGTACTTACTGAGACGTTTCGACCCGAAGAGCTGAGAAAAGTTTTGTAATTGATGCAGAATATATCACACTAGGTCTTACTCATAAGTAGTGTGAGAAAAATCGAGACCAAAAGGAAATGTTTGAACGGAACTAAAATCCCGTTGAATGTTTATTTTTTATTTTTTAGAACTGATGCTGATTTTGATTTGATATTAAAAGTGCATGGGAGTCATGATCCAATTGTGCACGCGAAGTTTTACAGTCTTACGCAAACTTAAAGAGTGTTGACTTTTTCAGCTCGCAATGATTCAAATTCAGCGTTTAGCTGGAAGACGAGGAAATTTATTTTTTGGAAATGACGAATGGCTTGCCGCCTCCGATCGACGCGCAGGAAATATTCCTGTGACCTCTGTGGGCTTCCTGGGATTGTTTGCTTTGCGTGCTTCAAATGTTTTCCGAGCAGGAATTTTAACGAATCTTTGGGCGTGTATGTGTGTGTGTGTGTGTATGTGTTTAAAAAGGGGTTTGTTTGAATTCTTTCGTTGCTCTCCGACTGCTTGGTGTAAATTACGGGTCGCCGGTTCCGCTTTTGTATTCTTGCGTCGCATCCCAGCAATTTCTCACCTTTTCTTCACCCTCTCCGACGGAGAATTGTAAAACAGTTCTCGAAAATAGAAGAGTTTGGTTCGAAATCGGCATACGGAACGCATCAAGATTTGAAAATTTCGTTAGAGCAAGTGTTTTGTTTCATTGTAGATTTGAATCATCCCCAATTTATATACAGTATTTTAAAGCAAGATGAAGGGACATTTTAACTTTTTTCAGCTCGGCAGTATCTCCTTTTTCCCTGAAAAGCATAGTCGGAATGGCGATTTTTTTTCAAGATTTATATATTTATAAATTTCCGAAGATTTTTGATGCATTAAAAAGTAAATTGTCCGGCTCGTGCTTCCTTGGAAGGATTTTTCGCGCTTGATTCTGATCTTTCAACTTGAGATATATCCAAGTTCCAGTTCAGTTGGGAAATTATTCGTCGGAAATTCATAGTTCATGAGCTTTTTGTTTTAGGACTGCCCACGGATGGATTCACACCCTACTGGACTCAAAAAATGATAATTTCGGGAAGCAGATTTAAACATGTGATCAGGTTTTTCAAAAAGAAGACTGGAATATTCAAGTAAATCGGAGAAATCCTGGAGACATTGGCATGAGTTTTATATTAGTTTGTGCAGGGAACGTGAAGTTTCTACACATTTAATTTCGGTCCCTTGCGGGAAAATAGAGATCCATGCCATGCTAAAATCAGACAAGAAATTAAGAGACGATTACTCTCCTTAGTTTCAGTACTTTCTTCGTCATTTATCTTTAGTTGACAGCTACTAATAGTTTTCAGGAGAATTATAATAATTTTTGTGAAATCCTCAAAAATGAAACAGAAGTCTAAGGGGCAAAATACTCAAAATTTTCTCTCCAGTCTTCCAGGCACCGATGCTTTGCGGGTTGTCCACATGATGCTATAGGTTTTCAAATTCTTTGGCATTGTCTGATACAGTATTAAGGTTACAGCAAATTTCATAATTTAATCTTTGTACTTCCCATGAACTTCACATTTCGTGGATCTTAACGCGCGACGACCTTGCGTCAGCGTTGAACTCGTTGCTTAGTTCGAGGGTGCAGCCGACATCTGGGGAAAGGCATGAACAACTTTTAAATTGCAGTTGGAGTTTATTAGGTAGGTGTCGCTCGAAGTGCAAACAAGGTGCAACTCGTGCGAGAATGCAGTACAGTATCTTGATCTAATACTGCCCCTTCTTTCCCTCTCGGTTATTTGCTATTTCAGCTCATACACATTAGACGTGACGTCATGGCATACAATCATTTTCGTTTTTCTTGCTTTTCCACAGTACGTGGGATCTTTTCCAGTTGCTGGAAGCGATGAACTGACGCGCTCGGAGATCGTCAAACTTCAGCTCAACAAGCTGCACGTGAGTATTCCGTACACAATTTTTATTGGCCAAGTTTATGGCTTCTGCGGAACGAGTTTTGATTGCTTTTCGCTCAACCAGTCTGTGCAACTTAACGGTGTCTAAGGCATCATTCTCAGAGCTCACGAATGGCTCACAGAAGTCGTATTTTCTCGGCGGACTCGGGAGGAAAACCGTTGACTAATCGTTACTCGAATCGCAGTCGTTCGTCCTTTACAGTTTACACCCTTTGTTGAGTGCCTGGAGAACACGGTGCAATTTGCATGTCTGCCGAGGAATCTCGTTCCGTTGGGCGGAGAAACAGGGTTCTGGCACAGTACTTTGCTCTACGATAAAATCCCGCTGGTTTAAAGAATGTGAGGAAGTTTGAAAAATTGAAATGGATCCGGATTCCGACTAACCGTACTCACTTAAATGGCGGAGGAAACAGAGTAAAACTGATGATTTAATTTGGAAACGGCGTGGTTTTCCACTGAATGATGCATAATGCGGATCTACCAAATTCGAGATTGTTGGAACTTTTGAGTACTTTTATTTCGGCTTTAAAAATGTTGAAATAAGTTTCAAAATCATAAGTTCTTTTCATCCTGGAGGCGATATTTCTGAAATGCAGCTCAAGTGAATGAAGTTGCATGTTAGATACTGTATTTTCAAGCGACAGCCATATTTTCTTGAAAAATTTGACTCGTACAATTGTAACACTTTCTCTCAAAATTTTAAACCCTTTGAGAAAATTATATTGCGTGAATTTTGAAGAACTCAACCTAGAATATTGCCGTAGCTGTGAGATTTTTGCATCTATGGGTTTTTAATCCACGCTCTTGCTACTGCTAAATACTTGTGCAATACTTTCGTAAGACCTGAAGACCTGAACTAAATGCTTTCCTGTCGGTTAGATTGCGTTGATTTTTCAACGGGTCCAAAGGACCTTTGTTTATAAATGACTATTGAAGGTCGTGTGGTCCAACGTATTTCGTTGAACGATGCAATAATGTGAGAATAATCCTTGAAGAAATTTCACAGTAAGTGTCACGGACGAGTGTGAAAGTTTCCTCCTCATCACTTCAAATAAAAAAAATTGAAATCGAACGTGGAATATTTTTTTGTGAAAAGTTAATGAAGTCGAGTACGGCGATCATAATATCTGCTGTCCTTCGAATTAATCACACGTTCTTCTCATTTCTTATGAAGGAGTAATTACCTAGTTTTTCATGTCGCTCGTTTCACTAAATTTTTTCTCTGTACAGTGCAGTACTCTGCAATTTCTCGAGGAATGCGTTTCTGGTTGAACTGGTGAAATGTTATGTATTTGTTGGTGTTCGGTCTCCACTTTTTTTTGGCAGAGCGAGAATCCATCTCACGTCGTTTCCATCAAGCGAAATTACCTATTTTTATCGCTTCGGTGAAGGAATTTCCTTTGCAATATCGGTACAGTATGTAGAATAGAGTACAATTCTTCGAGAATTTGCAATGAACTACTTGTCTTGACGGACCTGAGTATTTTGAAGAAAATTCATTCGGACAAATGCGAGGGTGGAATTTCTTCCGCGGAAGAATTTTGCGAAGAGGCATGAATCTTGAATAAAGTATGTGCGTGTTAGAGATGAATCGATTGCAGGAATTTCAATATCTTGATTAGATTTTTGATGTCCCCAACGATAATTTATACATTCTTCATTCGACGTTTACTTTTCAATCATCTCGCTTTAGGGAAAAAGAGGTAATGTTTTAGGAACACTGCTGAAATAGCGTTCCTCTTCTTCGATATTCTATCAAATAATTATTTGTAGCTGTTGCAGTCATCCCGAGTAGGAACATTCAATTTTACAAACGCTCAATTTAACGTCGTTTTTGGACATATGAAATGGAAACGTCGGCGTGGAAAATAATCGAATGACATTCAAATTCAATCACGCAAATTTCTCCCCCTGTCTCTTTTTCTACCGGGTAAAATTTTCTTAAGTTAAGGAACCTCGAGCTAGAAACCATGCTTCGCAGTTAATTCAAAGACCGCAGAAGGTCAAACCTTTTTGAAATAGACGTTATGTAGAAGCATTTCTGGTGGAAAACATATTTTTTCGCCATGCTTAGAATTCCGTGGGAAAGAGTGCTCTCTTCTCTTGAAGGTGACTCTTTTCCCACGGGAAACGACTTTCAAAAGAGATAAGTAAAACAGTACTTGAGCCCAATATCAGACCTCTAAAAAAAGGGGTTCAAGTGCGGCTCTTAACCACGCTTTCCTTGACCGACTAAAGTGCTACTCTCCGCAATTTTTTGACGAATGGGTTTTTGAAAAAGCATAAGAGCGTGAAGTGGAACGAATTGTCTTGTACGAGCAGGGGTTCTTGAGTGGATGTCCATTTTGAAAGCAGGAAAATCTTTGTATCTAGCTTCATCAAAAACACCAACAGCATGGTAAAATTCTGGGTTCATCATGATCGTGAAATTTTTTTTTCAATTATTGTACTATGTTTTTCAAATTTTATTTCGACGCAAAACCAGAGCTAGCTTGAAATTATGTTTACTCCGTGAACATTTGGAAACTTCATGAGATTTTTTTTTCTGTAAGCATGTGAGCTGCGATTCAAGACTTTCAAAGATTATAAAGCTTAATAATCTAGCAAAATAAATCGCGATAAATTATTGGGATAAAAATTTACTCGTAATTTTCAAAAGTTGAGTGATACTTTTTACCTCGCGATTGTTTTAGGCCCATATTACGCAACCGTTTTGGGGCCGCGAACCAGAAAAATTTCCCTAAAATGCTCAGCGGACCGGCGAGGTTTCATAACGTTTTTGCAGACGACAAAAATTTTTTTTTTGAAAGACTTCGTGGCACGTACATAAAAATTTTCTGCTATTTTGAAAAAGAGTCAAGAGCCAATGAAGCAGCTATATATAGGAATGTCTTCAAAAATTAGAAAAGTGGGCTTTAGAAAAGGTTTCTCGGAATGAAAAATTGAAATAATTTATTTCAGCAGGTAAAAATTGGTCTGAAGTGTTATTAGGAGGAAAGTCAACTTCTATTTTTCGTCTGATAATTTCAACTGCCATTTTCTTTCCGAAATTTCAGATGAATTCAACAGACTTCATTGCTGCCTTTGACAAATATATTATCCTGCAGAAAATTTCTCGCTGACCGGCAAAAAGTTTTGTGGACCAGCGCCGGTCCGCGGGAATTTTCTGCAGCATAATAAATTGATTGAAATTAGCAATGAAGTCTGCTTCATTTATCTGGAATTTTGGAAACAAATGGCAGTTGAAATTATCTGATAGAAAAATAAAAGTTATCTTTTCTCTTGAGACCAATTCAGACAAATTTTTACCTTTTTGAAATATGTTATTGTATTTTTTTCATTCTGAGAAACCTTTCTTCAAGCACACCTTCCTATTTTTTTTCGAAGACCCTTTACTAAAGCTGCTTCCTTTTTTTTTTATGTATTCAAAGAAAAAGCAGAAATTTTTTAAATGCCTACCATAAAGTCTTTTGAGCAAAACTTTTCTGACTCTGTAAAACTTCGATGAAACTTTGCCGGTCCGCAGAAAATGTTTGTGAAATTTGCCGGTCCGCGGACCCAAAAAGGTTGGGGAACTTGCTTCGCATGAAGCCTTCCTCTTTTGCATGTGTTAAATTCGTGAATTATTCTTATTCCAAATTAAGGTAATATCTAGTATGCAGGTAAAATTCGTTCTGAAATTCTTTTTTTGAAAATGTTACTGTAAATGTTGTGTGAAACCTTCCATGTCAACGGGTTAATGAATGCGATGCCGAACCCGGAATAAAACGAGGGATGAAGTTCTATCAGCGTATCATTTATCGCGTCCAAGGCTTCCTGGCCACGAAAGGCCCACGATGATTGTTATTATTATTACTATCACTGTTGTTATTTTCGTTCATTCGTCCCTGGGCGTCTGCGCTGAGATGGGTTGCGGAGACGAGCTGGAAGTTTAATTGCAGTGCGTGACACCGAAGACGGTGCATCTGATGGGACCCCGAGATAATGATGGCATATGTTTCCGAGAGGAACGTGCGGCGAACGATTTTTTCGTGGAAAGCCGATGCTTGGCATTCCTTCGAGATGATGTGGCCTGTTGTTGGACGGTTTCAGATATGTAGAGAAAGTTAAAAAAAAAAGGCGATCTCGTTCGGAAATGTTTGAGGGATGTTTCAAAAGTTGCGTGAATACTGTACAGCACCTTGAAATGACGGCCTTTGGGTACCTAAATAAGCCTTGAGGTTGATTTCTTCGAACTCTAGTGAACAAGATTTTCTTTCTTAATTTGCTATATAATTTTTTTTCTGCTCGATTGCTGCCCTGACTGGGCAGCTTTTTCACATAAATTGCAAAATCAGACCAATAAATGTCGCAATTAACATCACCAACGCAAAATTTTCAAGATTAAATAACTTTTTCCACGTGAGCCTGACTTGTTACCGCTAGAAAGAATTTTTAAAACGTTTTTATTGTATACCTTTTGATGAAAAAAAATGCGAGTGTTGCAGGTATACGTTGGGTTTTTTCCACTCTCTGCTCTATAACATAACTTGAATACAATCGGAAATCTGTGAAGTTCTCAGGAAAAAAAAATTAGTAACAATCACGCCCTTTTGCATCCATTCAGAAAAACCAAAAATTCGTAGCAGAAAGCTGCCCCAGCTGATTAATCATACTTTTTAGTATCCAGATTGTTTTAAAATCTTAATTCAAGAGGAATATTCGTGGAAGAGTTTGAACGTCGGAATTTCCTTTTCTTCTTTATTTTGCAAGTCTTCATAAAATCGTAGAGTTTTTTCTTGTGATTTCAAGTGTGAGGGTCTGTGCGATTTCGTTCGGAAATCCAGCGCGATTTTGTAAAATTCCCGCGCAATGTCGGGTTATTTAATTACTGTATCTTGAATGTCTGGAACGAGTACCTGTGTGATTCTTGTAATTTGAACTCACAAGGCTTACTTTATTAGGATTTTATCGAAGGATACATAGGCTGATTAATTGCATTTAATCCCTCTCAATTGATGCCGGTATTCAGTTTCCTCCACTTCTGTTCCTTCTGAAAAATGGAAATCTTTTATCTGCTGCTGCTTCTTCCACGATTGTTTCTCCTCTACTCTTTTGAGAGATGCATGGAACAAGAGGAGACTTTCGTTGTGTCCTCTAAAAAAAACAAGGTCTCTCACACGCCCATGTTAAATTTCGTCTTGCCTTCCCCACCCTTCCAGTGTCAGTCCAGGAATAGCCTGAAGTGTATCTTGCTCCGAAGAAACCCTGTAATTTTTTCGAACGTCATGGACCTTGGTGGGATGGATGGGGAGAGCTGTTGGTTCAAACGGAGTGTTTATATTTTTTCCTCCTCTTGCGTGTGGGTGGTAAGCTTACTTTTTTGTTGTTGCTTGACATTGGAAGGTTTGTTTGTTGCTGACTTAATGAGCGTCTGTCAACAGATGGGTGGCACGGGGTTCTAATGACAGGTGTGTTTTTGTTCCGTGTTCTTTTCAGGAGGCCAGGGAAAAAGGCAGACCCGTGTTAATCGTCATCTCTGTCGCTGGCATCAAAGTATGCAGTCCTGATGGAAAGGTGAGTCAAAGTCTCCATGTTGTTGCCTGGGATGTCTTGCAATTGAGTCTTTGGAATTTTTGAAACGTGTTCCATCACCATTAGTTCGTATCAGAGGATACAGATATTTAATTTTCGCGAGCAATCGAAAATATAATTGTCAACATTTGTTCGAAAATGGTTTAATTAAATTCGTTTTTATCAATTTTCTTTCGATACATTCACGAGTGATTAAAAAAAAAATTCCCAGCTCGGATGGTTGAAAAATTCAAGGAGTCCACAAACTTCCTCTCTCCGTTTTTACTGTGATTATAATTTAAAATATTACCGGTAAATACACGCGACGTTTTGAAATGATCTGACGGACGATCTATACAGTACTTGAAATAATTTCGCAGAGGTTGGAGTGATTGTACAGAAATTGAAATATTTTACGAAACTGTGAATATTTAAAGTAAACTTTGCATACAGTACTGCAGTCCGAAGATGAAATACTGTTAACTTGAAATGTGAGAAAAAGATTTAAATGTGTTGCTCGCGGGTATCCTGTCTCAACTCTTTATATGCAAGTAAAGCAATTTAAAAAATTTTGAAACATAATTTTGTAAAATCGTTCGGTTCTGTAGATTAATACTGCAAGTGAAGCGTATAACTACATTTTGGCGCGAATTGTTCTGCCCGCTCTAACACCATCCGTCTGAGATTTGAGTACAGTTTACGTAGATGTCGCTCGTGTTGCAAGCGTGGATGTTTTTCGCCGTACGAACTCCGTTGGTGCTGTACAATTCTACACGGCCGATTCATTCCTGTCTCTTTCGATTTAAATACAAAGGTATTCGAAGAACGTCGCTCGGTTTACGTGATCCAGTTCCTTTCCTTGATTCATTCCGAAGTTGTCAGACGTGACGATGACGTTCGTGTGTTTGACTCTGTCTCTGCATGCCTCTCTCCTGCCTCGCTCTCGGTCTCGACTACATAAACTACATTGGAAATGCATTAGCTGCCAATCGTAGACGTCTGTGTAAGATGTCTCTCTGGCCTCGAATGTCTCCGGAATGAGACGTCACGACGAGGTAGTAGTTATTGCCGGAGGGGGGGGGGGGGGGGGGGGAACTGGTTTCTTTCCCAATGGTGGGGGGGTGGGGGGGGGGGGGGGGGGGGGGGGGGGGGGGGTGGGGGGGGGGGGGTTGGAACTGGTTTCTTTCCCAATGGAATGAACAATGTACTTTGTGATCGGAATGCACCTGATGGCCCGCAGGGGATTTGCATTTTTTCTTACACCCCATCTTGAGAAGTGGATTCTTCAACCGTCGAGTGGTTTGAATCGAGTTGCATGACGGTTATTTTCGTGATTTCGTCGTGAGATCAAAAGAGATGAGGAAAAAAATGCTTCCTATCCGGATTTCCATTTGAAACTTCCGCTTGCTCTGCGGTTTGTCAGTTCCGGTTATTGGCGAAATATCTCCTGTATTTATTCTTGATGAAGCGGAAGTTATCCGCGTGCCTGCGTAATTGCATATTTGAGTTTTTAAAAAATATACATTGCTCCATACGGAGTCAGATTCGTTTATTTTTTCGATTTTAGTTGTCAACTACAGTCGCGCATTGTTGCGATTAAAATTCACTGGCGAAGTTTTAAAAACTTGGTAACACTCAGTTTCCAGCAATCGAGTGTTGGTAACACTCAGTTTCATGATAAGTGTTGAGCGACTTAAAACAAGACAAGAGCGGATAAATCTAAGCGAATGAAAAATGAAAGCGAATTTAATGGTACGCAAGTTTCCTTTTTCAAGGCGTTCATGTATCTAATCTACGCGCAAAAAGTTGGTCCGGAAGTTTTCCGGCCTGTGTCGCCTTTTTTGAAAACTTAGAGGCATACAGTGTTTTAGTTTTTATTTTTGGTGCCGTATTTCCGGTCCCTGTTCTGTATTATGCAGTAAGCGCTCTTCACAATGAATCTCGTTATGACGAATAATCGATAAGAACGAAATCGTTTTTGAGGTCTCTGATGCCCAATAGCCACGATGTCAAATGAGTTACTATACTGTACTTCATAACGAATTTGTCAATACAACGAAGCTATTTTACTGGTTTCATGGTAAGGAGATTTTACTGCATTTCGTAATTGCGTAACATTCAGAAAAATCAAATGTCCGTGTTCTTCATATGCTTTTCCGTATGCTCTTAAAAGGCTTCTCTTGTTCACGTGTAATGTTGTCGATGAATCCAATGACTCGTTTTTCATGCAAAATGTAGTTTTTAAATTTTAAATATTTAATTTATAATAGGATATGTCGAGTGAAGCGCTAATATCCGGAAAATCTCAGCAGTTTTGGTATCAGAAGCATCTGAAGCTAATTATGTTTTGCGTGAGAGAGGTTAATTACCGTAATTTTTTAAATGTAAGAAATTAAACAAAATTAAATATCTTGGAACTATACCCAATTAGTTCTCTCCCACAAGCATGAGACCTGTGAGAGAAAGCGAGACAAGAGACCAATTATAAGAAAATTGAATGCCGTATACGAGTATCTTTTACTTCTTGGAAATAATAAACAATGGAATTACCGCATCTTTATTTTTGATGTCATGAATTTGTCAGGTTAACGAGAAAAAAAAAAAACTTACCGGTAGTCCATGTTAGGTTCCCATGCCCTCCTACTTGGCAGAATGGAACATTTCTTCAATTTTTTTAAATATCCCGGAATCAAAAAAGGGCTTCTGTTTCTCTTCCAAAACTCGGATTCATGCAGTACAAAATGTCTACCGGTAAGCAATGTCGGTATTTCACATAGTTTTTTTTTTTTTTTTTTTTTTGCTTTTTATGCTGTCGAGATATACAGTGAAACACTGAATATCTGCGCTAAGGAAAGTGTTTTTGTCTTCATTATGTATCAAATGGAAAGAACGATCCGTAACAGTAAAACAGTTTCCAGCATTTTATTTCGTGTAAAAAAAAAAATTATGTTCTTGTATGGATACTGTACCGATTTTTTCGCAAATCATTCAGTTCACTAGCCTATAGATAGCTATTTAGATCAGGGCGGAGTAAAGCCATTGAGGCAAAAATGAGATGCTGTTTTTTTAAATTAATTTAAATTGAACACGGTAAATTGAAGCCCGGATAATCAAAGCCCTAGTGTATTTGATCATGTCCAGCATCTTCAACTGTGCTTTGGAACCGCAATTACGTTTCCAGACCGGTTTATTTATAGACGCTTTGTCTGCCCGCGGGGGGAATTTGACGATGATCAATAAAGGGAAGCAGTAAAAGAATCATCGGGATTTTTCGGTGGAGATTCCTGGATGTTTACGACATCGACGATGTCGGTCGTCGGCGTGTGCGATCCCTGGCATCTGCGTATTTCCCGCGTGTTTGATTTACGATGGGCGTGTCGAGTCGCGACAACGCGGTCGAGTCTCGATCCCATCCGAGTCAGTCAGTCTTTTTGTCTAATTGGACCCCGGGTCAAGCGAAGATTGGGCCTTTTCAAAGTCTCGATTTCTTCCCTGTGTCAAACTGAAGCATTCTTTCAGCCTGCCCCTTTCGCAATGCTCGAGATTTGTTTCTCTCTCTCTCTCTCTCTTTTCCTTTCGTCCGACTGAAATTTGCAAGTGAATTCTTCTAAGTGAGAAAAGTCTGATGTCTGGGGATGAAGGAAAGCAGGTTGCATGGCGCGCAATTTTGAGGGAGACGGAAGGAATTTAATTTCCGGATTCCTGTGGCCAGGGTTTTTTTTTTTCACGAGGGATTTTGAGTACTTTTTTCGGGGAGATTTCTGGGAACGTTGGTGGGAAGGACGGGGGAAATTTTGGTCAGTACCTTGGAATGCAGGCCTTTGTGTATACCATACCCATGTTTTTTTTTAAATTCATATTCCTCCAGGCCGATGTGGTGGCGATAACATATGCGACAAAATTTTTGGGATTTCCCTTGGCTAAACTTTTTTATTGCCTTGTTGGACAAAAATCGCATTCTGCTTCTGGAAGTAAATAAAAAAAAATGATGTTGAAACATAGTTTCAGATGTTGGAAATCTTCGTTGGAAAATGTTAAAATTATTTTTAAAAATTAGTAGCGCTTGGACGGAGTGGAAATTTAATTTCAAACTTAGTGATTTGAGCAACGGCGAAGATAATTATCAATTTTCGATCGAAATAAGCCATACATTCAATAAGACTCCGGAAATTCAGTAATGAACTATTCCTCAAATTTTTCTTTCTTCTCGAATGCTTGGATATTTTTGTATTGCTTTGATCTCAATGACGAGAGAAGGAAACAAAAAACAAAAACAAAACAAATTCGGGGGTCATGAAATTTCATTTTCTTCGGCGAGAAACCTCAGGGGCATTTCCTGTGAAATATCTCGACAAATTCTGGAAAAACAAGAATCCAGGTCGCTTTTGATTGATTCCCCCAGCGTTTCGCCTCGCGTATGCGTATTCGTCGGAATTTTTTCCCCGTCAAGTTTTGTTTTGTTTTATTTTATTTTTTGTATATGCGTTCTTCTATTCAAACGCAGCTTGTTATCTCGATTGCATTTCGAGTTGCTCTTCTTCATCATCATTATTTTCTTTTTTCTCTCTTCTTGCTTCCCCGTCGTCGTCGTCGTCAATGTCGTCGTTGTTAAGAATGTGTACATGGCACACGCACTGAAGCGGATCTCGTATGCGTCCTGCGACCCGGAGCTGTCGCACTTCAGCTTTTTGGCCAGAGAACCCAAGGGCCAAATGGATCTCCAATTCTGCCACGCGTTCCTTGCCGAGTCGCCAGAACAGGTCAGTGGTTTTCTTGTGCTGTATTTTCATTTTCAGTCGTTGGGGATCCACCCCCCCCCCCGGTCCGGAAATCCTCGTCTTGTTCCGGAGTCGAGACAATTTTCAAACGAATATTTTTATCGAGCGTGGGCCGGGTAATTGGAAGGAAACGGAGATTGTAGCTTATGCTCTTGGTAGTCCACGAATTTTCAAATTTCCTCACATGATTTTGATCAAATGGGACGTCATTTTGTCGAGTGAATGTCATATCGGCAGCGGAGGAAAAACGTTCGCTTTCATTTTAGACATGTCCCCCCCACACATCGACAGCTTTTATAGAAGGGACCTGGATTGTTTGACCTAACAGAGCTAATCTGATCAAAAATCAAGTCAGTTAAGTTGTGCAACTTGTAAGATACTGCACTTTGATCTATGGGCGGCGAGGCTTTGTTTTAAAATATCTAATCATGTTACCGAAGGAAAAAAAGGTGTGTTGCCCAACAATACAGATTTTCGAGAAGAGCCTTCTGAATTATTTATGGATTCAGGCAGATTGCTCTTCAGATTGATGAACTTCGCCTTGAGGATGTTGAAGATTTATTTGAAGATCAGAAAAATCGGAATAAGTATTGTGATAAAATAATTGATCACTGCGATGGACTTCTCTAGGTTTAGCAATAGAGTAAAATATGTATGGTACGCATGAATGGAGTGTACGGATTGGAAATTTCGAATTCTTTATCGATGAAAACGGATAGATTTGAAGCTTCGTGACGTACTTCTCAGATGATTGATTAGCACATAGTCCAATTCAAGACGCGTAATGTCCTCTTTTTCGTGCATTATTTGTGGGAAATTATCGACATTTTCTCATTAGCACGTTTCAGAATACACTTCGGTGAGATTAGACCTCAATATCCAATTGTCTCCCATTTATTATTTTTATGTTCTCCCCCTTTTTGAAAAGTTATAATGATGCTTGCACGCGTTGCTCGTTCGCTGCCTCGGCGACAATCCGATCTCGCGTGCTCTCCGAAAACCTGATCAATTCCAGACTTCCTCCTGTTTTAATGCGGTTTTGCATCAACCGGGAGACTAGAAGTGAAGAGCTATGCGAAGTCATGGGTGCTGGGGGCGGATTCCTGAGCCACAGGAATTTCCGCCTAGCAGGGTCCGAGGGAAAATATTACGGAATGCTAATGCTCGCGTGACGCGATCGTCACACTCGGTCACTTTTCAGAATAGGCGGCGGGGGATTAGACGACAATATTGCCAGGAGCAACGAGGTGCTCGGGGTTTTCTTTTTCATTTTCTAATTCATTTTGTCCTTCTTTCGAATCTTATCGCGTTCGTTTTTTCTATTTTTTTTTTAAATTTTGTTTCTAATGATGCTCGCACGCATTGATTATTGTCGAATGGCCTGCAATTTGCTTCTCCTCTCTCTCTCTCTCCCTCCCTCTCCCAAGTCTCTTCTTTCGTATTATCTCGTGTGCTTTTAGGAATTTTTCTTGTTGAAGGAGACTGGAATTATTCCACGGACGATTTGAACCGCTTTTCGGCATGATTTTGGTCAACCGGAGAAATATACCGTGTGGCTCAGAAATAAGTAGACGTATGCTTATGATATTGATTTTAATGCTGAATTGAAAGGTACAGTACAGTATTTAAATTGCCATTACGATGATTTTCAATACTGTATTGTGTGGTAGCTGCTTTGGCATTGCTATACTACTGTTGGTGTTAGGACATGGAAAATTCGAGATGAGAAGAGTCTCCGCATGCCTTTGAATCCTACCGCTAAGCACGATAAATGTTCGATATTTATCACTGCTAAATTATGTAAAAATCTCTCAACTTTTTTTTCCTGGCCCGTTTTGTTGAATCAGAAATTTTCCGAAGCACGCTGATGTCGGAATCCTGTCAAGTGCTTCCTGCGTTAAGTGACCGAAGTTATTCGAATCTTGTCATTTTGTGTCCTCATCTGCAACCCGCATAACTCAGAGGAAACCCTCCGGAACAACGGACTTACATTCCTGATGAATTTCCCCTCGAGGGTCGTTCTCGAAGTAGTAACAATTTAGGAGAGTGGGTGAACGGAGATAAGCTGTGAAATGTTCGGTGTGAGATAATGGAGTTACGATCGATTTGGTGCTAATTTATGCGGTTCTAACGTAGAAACCAGTACCATTGAAGTTGAGGGTAGGGGTGGCAACTTGTCGAGAAGAGGCTCTGATTGATCGTTGTGAGTCGTGTACAGTATACGTTGCTTTTATTTATTTATTAGTATTGAATGGATATGAAGATGGACGTAATTTTTACGAAGTGCTGTAATCGATGATCAGTTTCGTGCCCACTTTCAAAATTGTTTCTGATTCAATTTTGAATTGTGAAACCGCGGAAGGGCTTCAAGTGCTGTAAATTACTATGAAAAGATGAAATTTTACCTGCTACACTTCCATTTTTATTATTTTGCGGGTAGGCTGAGGTCTGCGGAATATTCAAAGAATTTTGAATGACTACACGCATGAAATTCAAGTAAGTTTTACTTCTTTCAAGTCTGTGGGTTCACTTTTTGTTGAGTGATTCTGATCTCGAAGTTACTGTCATAAAATTGAATGTGCTGGGCAATAAGTTGCCCAAGTCACGGATGCAGAAAAACTGACCAAAAGCACATCAACAGAAGTTTTTTCAAGCTGTACTATTGATTCCTTAAGCTGTCACGAGGTTCATGGCCAAAAAATTCGTGTACGAGAATAATTCGACTTTTAAAACTTCGTACTGTACTTTCAAATTTTATCTTCGCGCTGCGAAGTTCAATTGAGATTCTTCGCGGTCAAAATGTCGTGGTATGCAGAAATCATAAGGTATACAGTACTGTACAGTAATTGCGTCATTCATCGCTGTTGACTTAATTGTCGGGAAAGTACGTAAGCGTGAAATTTGATGACTCCATGTTAAACCTACGGAATGTCAATTTTAGCACTTGTTGCGATATTTGCATCCGGATTTTTGTCATGAATTTTTTTTTAAAAGACACTTTTTCGTCGCCATGCCGACAATCTGCGAATGTCTGGAAGTGTCCCGGACATTAAGTGGCCGGGAGCGGGTACGAATGGTGCATTCCTTGCGGAAGGCGAAACCCTGTTGAAAAATGCCCATCGGACGATTCCGCTTCGGGGGGAAAACGGGCATAATGTTGATGTCGTGAGGTTGAAAAATTCGAGGAAATAAATTCCGAGCCCCGTTGGATGCTGCAGGGGAAGAATGTTCGTGGGAACGATGTTCATCACCCTCTGGATTCCGGTTAAACGGACCTTTGGCTATGGAATCAAGAATCCCCCCCCCCCCCTGTCAACGAAAATATGTCAGCAAACTGTGGAAATCTGCGAAAGCAAGAAAGGAAAGTACTGTACCGTACACCATATTTTTTTGTTCTTGTTGAAGTACCCACTTTCAAAAATGATATGCCGCGGATTTTCTTCGCTTCGAAAGCTCGGCTTATTTTCCTTCGCACTTTGTGCCAGTCAAACTTGGCGCGATTCCTCTGCCCTGGAAAGTGTTGCTCTCACTATTTGCATGAAAAACGATAAGATATATTCGCTGAACAGAGATACAATTTTGCACGAGGTGGTGAATGCTAAGAAAACAAAGGTTGAATGCCAGGAAAGTTGCGATGAACAGTAACTTCCAAGCGATGAAACGTCATACGTCGCATATTGAACTTGTGAATCAAACACGATTAGATTCACTGGACTCCTTCGATTCTGAAGAAATTGTATACGGTGATACAATGTAAATTATGCCTTACATTCGTTGGTATAGTCATTAATATTTTTGAATATCACAAAACGGAGATTCGTCTCAAAATTGATGGCGCCTTATATTCTGGTAAATAAGTGTTCCCAAGCCATGGTCCGCAGAATTTTTTTGTATAGCATGATAAATGTCTGAACATTATCAATGAAGTCTGTTATCTTTATCTAAAATTTCGTAAAGACAATGGCAGTTGAAATTATATAATGTAAAATAAAAGTAGTATTTTCTCCTATTGACACTTCGGACTAATTTTAACCTTCTGAAATAAATTATTTTAATTTTTCGTTCTGAGAAACCTTTCTTCAAGCCCGGGTTTTTATTTTTTTTGGAGACATTCCATCATTAGCTGCTTCATTTGTTCTTGATTTCATTTTTGCACAAAAACTAGTACAGTACATACCTGCCATAAATTCTTCAGAACAACGTTTTTGAGTTTGCAAATATCTTATGAAACTTTGCTGGTCCGTAGAAAATTGTTTTGGAAAGTTGCCGGTCGGTGGGCCCAAAAAGTTGGGGGAACACTGGTTCAGATAACTTTTTGTCTTTTTGGGGAAATACGGTGTCAATAATGTTACTCGTGGGAATATGTTGGTGAAACAACTAGATTAATCAAAAGTATGAAATCATAGACTGTTAACTGGAGAAATGGGATTTTCTATGTTTGAAGCTTCTTCCGAAGGAGGAAAAGGAAGCGAGAGAAACTCTGATGATGGGTCGAATCGCATTGCTTCGCACCTGACGTTAATGCCAACGTGTCACGGGGACGAACCTTTTTAATGCCTGGGTTTTTGTTGGGCCGGGTGACTCCGGATTGATTCCCCAGGAACGGTGTGTTATTAGTCCAACAAAATGCCCTCCCGCGAGTTGCCGAGTACTTTCGAGTTCCCCCGACGAGTTCGTCGTCGTCATCAGTCATTGTGATTCACGAATCTTCTTCCTTTATTGTTCATTTTTCTTTGCTTTTACATTTTTTCCCTAGTTTCGTTTTTCCAGTTCTGTTTGGAAACTTCTCCCACTCTCTTGTTTTTTTTTGCGCTGTGCGTGGGATGGTCTGTAAGTTTTCAGATTTGGGCACTTCATGATTCAACTTGGAGCTCTTGCCATCATTAGAGATGACCTCGATAGTCAAATTATTATTTATTTTGTTTTCATCATCAGTCTACCATCGACGTGAAACAAAAGCCCCCCAGCTTTGTACCGAGCTGAGAAAATATCGGACAAATCCGATCACTGTATCCGTTTTTGATTGATTGTGCCCGAAATGTCGATTAATAATTTCAATCCTGATAATTTCAAATTCTGCCTGTGATTTCTCCGAAGTCCCTCAAACTATCCGTGCTGCAGCATCCTAAAATTCTCCGGTACTGCGAATATTGTTAATTGAAGCCGTTAAGACATTTTTGTTCAACTAATTTTTTCGAAAGACAAAAATGTTTTTGTTCATTTTCCACGGATATTCTATTATTGTTATCTTTGTGACCAACAAAACTGTGCTGACGACCATGCGAGAAAATGTTCGCATTAGATTTTATCACTTGAAAGAAAAAATCATTGAATTCGTAAAAGTTATTTTCAGCAGCACTGGACATGCATCTGAATGCGGGGACCATGTGACTAAAGGCATTATCAGCTTTTAAGAGCAGTCCATGTTAGTTTTTCTTTCATAATTCTACAAACTTATGGACCATCCCTTGAATTTATTTACTGTATTTTCTGGGTTTTTTGGTGATCTCCGCCAAGCTCATCTTTTGGGCGTGGCGGAGCTCAAAGGGCCCACTTACAAACATTACGACAAATATCACGGTGACCCCCAATCGACTAGATACCCCGATTAACTATCAAACTACCGACCAACCTAGGAGCTTGCATTTCTGGGATGGGATAATGAGTGCCTTTTCTTCCGAAGGGGCGACCAAGCTTGACCGGAGAAACATAGTCTCTCTTCTTCTTGGGGACTGAACGTGGGTTCGGTTTAATTTTTCGAAAGTGCTTGAGTGCTCTTTCAAACGTGTGAAGATAAAATGCAAAAATGAAAATGAAACCCGACCTTTTCGAAATCTTCATTTCCTTGGGTGTTGGGTGATATTTTGGCTATCCATGTTCTCAACGGGTGGGTTACTTACTCAGAGTGAACCCGGCATATTTACCCGAATTTGATAATTCGTCATAAAAGAAATGCCGTTTCCTCTTTTGAAACACGTTTTCTGAAGTATGGGCGTGATTCGGGTGTGTGAAGGCAGACACTTTAACTGAATGCATTTATTGCAGGGTTTTGTTTCTGTTTCTAGTTCTACGAAAATTCTGGATTTTATTCGTCGAAATGTATACAAGGTTTTTCGAATAACCTCCGATTTTCTCCTGACGTCTGGAATCTGATATATGCACCAGATCTGTT